GGGGATTGAACTCAGGCCCTTGTGCTTGCCAGGCAAGCGCTTATTCTACTGAGCCATCTCCCTGGCCCCGAAAGATTTCTTATGTTGCATATCTCATGCAGTATTATAATCTCATTTGTTTTTTTGATACTACTATGAATTGCTGATATCTTCAAACTTTTTTACTAAACATGATTATCACACTTGATGATTAATTTCATCCTGAGGACATGTACATGTATACATGATTTTTTAATTGTTTTTATGTCCCTTTTGTTTCTCTACCACCCTTTCTCCCAATTCTTGGTCCTCTTCCCATTTGCAAGAGGTCTAACTCCCTGTTTCCTGGTTTTTTTAAAAAAAATCTTGTATTTGTTCTTTAAATTATTTATTCTTTGTGTTTCCCCTAGAAAAGACACTACATGATGTCTACATTTTTGTTTTTGATTTGTTTCACTTTACATTATGTTCTCAGAGTGCATTTATTTTCCTACACTTGACTCATATTTTTCCTTCTTTATGGCAGTGTTGTCCTTCATTGTGTATGAGCTCCATATATAATCTATGAATTCATCTGTTGAAGGACATACAGGTTGCTTCCAAGATTTAACCATTATGAGCCATATTGTTATACACATGGGGATGCATGGATCACCATAATATAATGGATCAAAGTATTTTGGGAAGATATCCAGAAAGAGAATATTGGGGGCATGGGATTTTCTATTTTGAGGGACCTCCATACTGATAACCATAGTAGTTGTTCTATGTTACACTCCCATCATCAGTGTAAAAGGATTCCTTTTACCATGCAGCCTTGCCAACATTTATCATTATTCATTTGATTTCTCAATGACAGCCATTCTCTCTGGAGTAAGGTGGAATCTCAGTATTGTTTTAATTTAATTTCTCTGATGAGCAGAGGAGTTCAAACTTTTTTCCTGTGCTTGTACATCATTTGCACTTCTTCTGTGAAGTGTTCGTTCATTTCAGTTGTCCAGTTTTTGATTGAGTCTTTTATTTTTTGGGGGAAATCTAATTTTTTGAGATCTTTATATATTCTAAATATTAGTCATATCTAAAGTGTAGTTGGTTAAATGTTATCCTATGGTGTAGATTTCCTTTTAGTTTTGTTGATTGCTTTCTTTACCATGCAGAAGCTTTTT